TTTGAACTCTTATTCCTGTAATCCTTTCATTAAACCAATACTTGTTATTAGCCTGTTTCTATGTTGTAACTGCAATCTCAAAGAGTCATTCGTAGGGCTTCCCTGGTGGCGCAGTGGTTGAGAGTCCGCCTTCCGATGCAGGGGACGCGGGTTCGTGCCCCGGTCCGGGAAGATCCCACGTGCGCGGAGTGGCTGGGCCCGTGAGCCATGGCCGCTGAGCCTGCGCATCCGGAGCCTGTGCTCTGCAACGGGAGAGGTCACAACCGTGGGAGGCCCGCGTAACACAAAAAAAAAAAAAAAAAAAAAAAAAAGAGTCACTCGTAACCCTTGAGGTTAGACAAAGATTTCAGACTTCTCCGAAAAAGCTTTTGTTTCCACTTTCATCTAGACTGGATTTAAAAGGTTTGGATGCATGAAAAAAAAAAGTGGGTTTTTTTCTTTATTCTTCTTCTTTTGCTTTTAGCATTCTGCTTTGTTGCCACGTAGCTGAAGTAAGGGTAAATTATATGGTGGTAGTGACTTTGGTGAATGGGGTGAATTTGTCTTTTTCACAAATGTACTGGCTTTACTTGCACAGCTTGGCCTCTGATGCTCCCATCAGATTTGTGATTCATAGTCAGATGTCAGTTCAGTTACTGGAGCAGAAGAAACCAGTAACTATAAAATTTCAGCACTGATATTGGGAGTGACCTGGAAGTCATCGTCAAGGCAGGGACTACACCTCAGACCCATTCTTATTCCTATCCTCTAATATCATACCTCATAAAGGATGAAAAAATAAATGTTTGTTTTTAAAATAATTGCGTGAAACAAAATGAACCCTGTATCATGTGTGGAATTCAACTTAAGACTGATTTAATTAGCATAAACTAACTTAGACCTAGAATTTAACTCTAGGCAAAGTATTTATAAAGATAACCTAATTGTAAAAGAGAGCTAAATAATAAACTATCAGTTTCTCTAATCCACTGAGTAACCCTTAATGAAAGATGCAAATTCCACAACAAGCTGTGAACTATGGGTATTCCACTGACCATTTTTCCATGGTTTGGTGCAGGGATTCCCTGGAAACATGATGAGGCCAAGAGGGTCAGTGTGGACCATCCTTTCATCTATGATAATGTGGAAAATCACTGGAAAAACCTAAAGGATTTGCCCATTCAGCTTTGTAAGAAATGGCCATTAACAATTCACTCCACTTAGCCTCTCTCTTTCATTGAGAATTTTGGGCATATGATTCTTTGAGCTGTGAGTGACACAGTTAAACACTACACAGCAGACAAAATGTAGCTGGGGGTTCCTGTCTTACTGAGTCCTTATCTCGCTTGAGTTAACTAGAGTTAACTCTTTTGGTTCCTTTCCCTTAAACAGGAAGTGAAGACATTTACTCAATCCTGATGGACACAAAACACCCTCCTGCCTCTGCTGATATCAAACAAGGCTGCCCTTATTCCACCGAGCTGATGAATAGGGATCATGTACCACTGTTCATGCTGGGTATTCTCCAAGGGCATTATATGTAATTGTCTTCACTCTACTGAAGGGCTCACAAGGTTCTTTCTTGTAATCTAATGGTACCTCAATTACCCATATCATTTTCCGAGATTTCCTTAAAATCAGGACTGTCACTGTCTGATCTTCACCACAGGCATCTAGGGAAACAGTTAAGCATTGTGTAAAGTCACAGCATCAAACACTATTAAGTCCCCAGGAAAAGTATCCTTCTTAGACACCCAGAATGAACACTTGGTTTCCAGACTGCATCCCATCTCGATGTGAAATCACCTCTCATCACTATATTTATTGTTTATTACTATATATATGGTACAAGTATTTTATTTTCATATACAAAGCATGTATTTCTAGCTATCTAACTGGGCCTTTTATCTGTCAGAGAATTGGAGATTGAGCCCTTGCTGAGTAGATTAATAATTTTACATTCTCATATGCTATTATTAAAATTTAGAGAACTCTTAAGCCAGTAGAGATGAGTTTGCAAGTATATGAAAATAAAAAGGGGCTGTTGGTGGTTATGGTTCCCAAACATCTCATAAATCTCTGAATCATTTATTTCTAGCTTCATGAGGAAGAAACTGTGCTGAAGAAAGGTGTTTATTATCCACTTAGTGAGGGGGAAAAAGCTGCAGCCCCTCACAAGAGATACATGGCTTTTTTTCCTGCTGCAGAACTTTCCCAAAGCACACTGAGTCCTGATGCCATGGTTTCCCCTGTGGAGAAGTATTTCTCTCCCTACCTGGGAAGAAACATCCTGAAATTTCCTCTCCAACTGGACTTTCCTGGACGTGTGGAAAGCAGAAGCAATATCCTCCGTCAAGTAAAGCAGCCAAGAGCTAACTGAACTTCCTCATGTGTTCCAGGGCTTTCCCAAAGCTCTTTCACATTTCAAAATAAGTCCGCAGATCCTAAACCCATTTTCCTCATTTGACAGCTACGGAAATACTGAAAGTGAATTATCTACTGACTGAGATTGGGATGAGGAATAGAATACTCGACAGGACTATAACTTATAGGAAAATCAAAACATTTTCTTTGATACTTATTTTGCAGCAGCTACTGCTAAAAAGCAACAAGAAGAATAGCCATTATGTGACACAAGTTCTAATTTTCTAACACGCTAGAATCCAAAAACTTCATAGGTATTTCTCAAGGAGAAAATCCTGCTGGAAATGGCATTTTGGTAGAAACGGAGAAGGAAAAAAAATCCCCTCTGTTTTCCATAGAGGAAAATGTCTTATTTATGGCTAACATGAAACAATGATGAAATATGACATTCTCATGGTACAGTCTCACGATTTTTACTTATAAAATGACATTCTTTGAGTAGTTTAACACAGGGACTTGGTATGAAAAGGAACATGGGGGGCCTATCAACAAATGAAGCGAATACTGCATTGAACTTTCTGAGAAAAAAAAATCTAACCAAATACATTTTGTTATAATTAGTGATTTACATTTTTTAACACAAACTCCAGGGCAATGTTTTAAAGTCTAGAAAGATAAAATAAGAGTTGGGATTCAGCAAATGCTGAATTCTGAGCAACGTCCTGAGAATGTGCATTTTTCTTTTTGGCCCAATTCTGAGTTGTATTTGCCCAGTTACAAGAACTGGCACTCATAGAGAATTTTTCACTCATTTGATAAATACTTATTAAGAGCCCATTATACACCAGGCAGTGGGGATATAGCCCTAAACAAGAGAGACTTGGTCCATGCCGTCAAGATGTTCCCAGCCCAGCAGACAAGGCAAATACGAAGCACACACAGGATGTCAACCTGTACCAGGAATCTTGTGAAATGAGCTATGGCATTAAACAATCACTCCCAGCTTTCCTAACCAAATGCAAGCTCAGGACAAATGCTTAACTGACAGATAACTAAACAAAACGTAGACCTATCTCATTTTTTCTGCCTATGCTTTAGCTGAAACACTGGATGACTAATCTAACAACCCATAACAGGATTCTGATTCTGGTTCTATCATTTACACGTACTGGACTGGTGATCTCCTTTTAAAATGAAAATCCTAAATTTTGGTGTTCGCACCCTGACTGTGATTTATTTTTTGTCACCTCTAAATGGGTTATTCTATTAAATTAATCAGGTATTCAAAAAGTGTTGGTTCATAACAGGCACAGCTTATGCTGTTTCACATAACTTTGAATTAATTAATCTAATAAAGACTTTAAGATTTGTGGACAGATCTTTTATTTTTACACATTTTTAATTCAATTTTACAAAATGTAATGATACCTATCCAGTACTGAATAGCTACTATGAACTAAGTGGGGTTTTGTTAACATGATTACTGGTAAACCCTGCCCTCCCCCTACAGCCATATAAGGTACTATTGGCCCTATTTTATAGCTGAAGGGCTGAGAAGTTGAGAGAGTTTCCCAGCACCACACAGCTAGTTAGTGTAAAGGCAGCAATGGAACCTCTGATTATCTGACTGGTTATTTTATTCTCTTTACAGTCCTAAATTGAGTTAAGAGTTCTCACCCACTGGGGCTCCATGTAGAATTATTCATTGTGCCTCATTATAACGATGTTATAGTAATGCAGTAAAAGCTTTCAAGCAACCAGAGTCCAATCAAACATCTAGGGTGCAATAAAACATTGGATTAACTAGTGAAATGAAATGTAAAGTAACTTCTCAGGTAAATGGCAAGTCAATGGAGCGTTTCTAACTATGAAGTCTTTGCTAAAATGAGCAAATGGCATCAAGCATTGCTACCAGCACCCTCCTGGCTGTGTGAAACTCGTGGGAAAAGAGGGACAATCATCTCGCATTAACCGGGGGGTTGGCCTGGAAATTCATCAAGAAATGCTGGGTCAGGGAGAGCTTGTGTTTCTCATTTTGGTCTATCTCCAGCGGAACTAGTCCTACAACAGTTCCACTGAATTGCTGCGAGGCCAGGTCACCTGTTTATGGAGGGATGGTCCACGTTTTGTTAGTAAAGCCAGATCACTACCACCATCGCTCTGCAAAAATCATCAGACATCCCCAGTAAAACATGGAGCTCTTTCTGGGTGAATAGGAATATAAACTTGAAAGCCTAAAGGGAAATGCACATGGATCAAACTGCTCTGCACCAGCTCCCTAAAAGCTCCCAGCTGAGGTTAGATACCCAAGTGAACAGCCACGGCCAGCTGCCTGCACCCAGAAAGCTTCGGGCGATTTACAGATTGTCGAGGAAGCTGAGATCCATCCCGAGGCTCACTTCCTAAGGTCTGGCCGCTTATAAGGGCTGTCTCACCCCTTCCAGCACAGCGGCTCCAGGACACAAGAGTTCTGCCAATACCGTTCACTGGGCACTCACGCTGGGGAGTCACTTGAAAGGAAACACGTCCCTTTCGGCTTGGGGGTAGCATGCTCGCCACTCAACGCCCTACTGGCTTCTGAACACCCATATGATTAATATTGGTACCCAGCAAAGAGAAATTCTTCTGACCTTGAGCGTGCGCGCTAAATAAATTACCTCGGAACGAAAGTGGTGTGATCTCAAAACAGCATCTGCGGGAAAAAAAGAAAAACGAGACGTCAATTAACTCCTTGTTCTTCACCTGCCGAGTCACCGACGACTTACCCGGGGGACGAGGGTCGGGGAGGCGCGTTCCGGACGCCTCTAACGCAGTGGGGACAGCCTGCTGGGAGGGCTGTTTACTAGGCCATCGGTCTCTAGGTGATTTCTCCGCGAGAAGTTTCAGAGAAAGTTCTGGGGGAGTTGGGGAGCCCCGAACTCTCCATGCCCCACGCTCCAGCGCCGGCCGGAGGGTGGGGGTGGACGAGGCTGCCGCAGCCCGGACTCCGCTCCAGCCATCCCCAGGGCTTAAGCACACTGACACCAAGTATCTGGTGCGTTCCCCACACCTCCCGGCGCTCTGCCTCGCCAGGGTCACCCCAATCCGGCCGACCCGTGGAGGGGGACAGGAACGCTAAACACGGAAACGCACTGGGCTAGGGGAGCGGGCGCGGATAGGGTAGAGGGAGCAGCGCGGAAGCCAGGGAGCCGCGCTTCCCTCTTCAAATCGGCTTAAAGGTTCCTCCTGGCCCGAGTAAGCCCGTCGCGGGGTGTCTTACCTCGGCTCCTTGAACGACCCGAAAAGACCGATTTCATCGGATGCCTCCCCTTCTGGAGCCTGCGGTGCCAGCAGCAGAAGAAGATGATGGTGGCGATGGTGCCCAGCAGAAGCAACAAGAGGAAAAGGGCACATTGGATGCTGTAGGGTCTCAGCAAGACGAGGAAAGCGGCGGCAATCATGGTGCGGGGCGAAGCGGCAGCGGCTGCCGGCGGGGCTGGAGGGCGGCGGCACAGGCACCCGCGCGGGGCGCACGCTGAGCTGCGGGCACGGGCGAGCGCAGCTCAGCGCGTCATGCCCGACGCTTGCGGCCCCGCGCCCGGCCCAATGGCTGCGCACTCGCGTCCGCCGCGCTACGCGAGGGAGCCCGGGCTGCGGGCAGCGTTGGCCATGACTCAGCAGACGTCGACCTGGCACGGACCTGGCCGCGGGTAGCCCACCCCGCCCTCCCCGGGCGCCCCCGCCCCCACCCGTGCGCTGCCCCCGGGCGCAGCCCCGCCGGAGACGCGGCGGACGGGGAGGGGCAACGCCGCCGGCAACGGGGCCACCCGGGCTCTGCGCATCGTCCCACGGCCACCGCCGGCCTCTGCATCCCCGAAGCCGGGAGCACGTGGGGCGGGGCGGGACGCGGCGGCCCGCGAGGGGCGGGCGTGGGGCGTCGCGGCGGGGGCTCAGCGGATGACATCACGGCCGGGCTGCGGCAGCGCGGGCGCGCGGACATGGCTGCTACGGCTCCGGCGGCCGCGGGCTGCGCCCGGGCCTGAGCGCCCAGCGCCCTCCCGCGGGGCCGCCCGCCGGTCCGCACCGTCCGGGGGGCACGGGCCGGGCGCCCCTCCGTTCCCGGAAGCCCGGGCTGCCACCTCTCCAGCCTCCCGTGCCCAGATCGCTGGAAGCCCGGCGACAGGGGGCGCCCCGGAGCCAGGGGGAGACCGCGAGGCGCCGACTGGAGCCTGCAGGCGGTGCTGCCCCCGCCTCCCACCTCCCCGCGCCCCACCCCGAGGCTGGGGCTTCGGAGGATGCAGCTGGGTGAGCTATTGCTTGCGGGGGGTTCCTGCACGCCGAAGCGTGAGCCCCGGGCAGGGCCTTTCCTCGGAATCGGGGTCCCCCGGAACGGGGGGCCCGTCCCGTCCGTCCCCCCTGAACTGGGCGCGCTCCCCGGCGGAGCGCTCGGGTCTGCAGACTTGAACTCTGCCACTCAGCCGAGAAGGGGGCACTTTGCATCCTCTTGCATCCATGTTGACCCTAAAACCTTGCCTCCTTTAGTGCAGTTGGAGGGAGAGGCAATTTCAGATTTAGGAACCAGCAGATGGAGGAAGTTGGAGATTGGCTTGTAAATATTTTGAGGAGAGATTTTGTAGGGCAAGTGAGGAAGTAGCGATCTATCACACTCAAAACGCACACACTCCCTTTCTCCCTCTTGCCCCCTCCCCTTTCTTCGTAATCAGCAAAAGGAATCCTGCAGTTGGAGATTTTCCCGGGGCCGCTGGCGCAGTGCGGACGCGGGAGGCGCGGCGGGGGCGCTGCAGTGGCCTCTGTCCCTGCGGCCGCCAGGCCACCTGGCCCGGACCAATTGCGACAGTGAACTCAGCCGGCCGGTGCTCTGTCGCCTTCTGCTGCTCCCGAGCCAGTGCTGGCTTTTCCCGTGCGGGGCTGGGTTTTGCTTGTTTTGTTTGCTCGCGTAGAGAAACTGCAATTATAGTGACAAGGTAACCCATTACTGCATTTGTGGAGTTGCTAGTAACTACTAGGGTGGACTCTGGAATATTTCGGAGACTGAAGAAATTGTGTCCTAATAAAGTATTTTGTAAAATTCCGGAAAGCAGTTAAAAAATCGATGACAATACTTAATTTTTTTATTTGCTTGTAGGATCTCAAGATCAGTGTGGTTTTCTAACTATACAAAATACACTATTCAGCTCTGCATAAAGGCTTACCATTGATGTTCTTAAGGCCTTTAACGTATTACCACGTGTAAGCATTAAAGGACACTCAAAAAGGCATTGACTAATGCACGTTTTAAATGCCAGATTCATCACCATGGGAAACAATGGATTGAGTTTTCTTATGTACATCTTGTTTCCTACGATAAAAATAAGCATTATCTCATTCAGTTGTTCTGGTTTGAAGGTGGACCTTGCTTGCAGATGCTGTATAAAGTGAGAATGGTGAATCAGAGTGCCTGCAGGATGGGCTTACAAGGTCCCTGGCTCTGGGGCTGACAGGTAGCACTGCATTTGTGCAGGTAGCTCAAAGGTTTCCTGATACCGCAGCCACTGCAGTGGGAGACCACATTCCCATCCACTGTGCAGGGGTTATTGAGGAAAGCCTGGGAGCCTGCTGTGTGGGGCACAACAGGAAAGGAAGAATTCTGTACCTCATTGCCTCACAGTGGCCTGGTGGAGTAATTTAAAACAACAACAAAACTGAATTAACCTTTTGCAAACACTGGGAGAAATAACTAATGAGGAAGGTCATCATTACTTTATACTTCTCATTGAGGAAAATTTGCAAGTGAGCTGAAATGGCCCTAAATATCCTTGAAGCATGCCGAAGACCGCAAATACAGCATAGTAACCATTTTGCCCCAAACTGTGCATTTATAACAACAGAAAGCAACTAAATAGCAATTATGATTTTGAGTTACGACTTTAGCACAATCGTTATCACTCTGAGTCTTGCTGCAGCCATTTGTAAGTTTGAAGTGCACACAAGAACATCATTTATCTCTTTTGGCAGGCAAATACTTAACTGCCTTGCAGTAGGATTATAGATATTTCTTTTTAGATGCGTTCATTTCTGTTCTTTGCATCAGTTATCTCAAGGATACTAATAATAATAATAAGCAAACCAAATCTTTGAAAGAATTTAGTATTTAGGATCCATTGTTTTCTGCTTTGTTTGTTGCTAATTTATCACTCCCTTCTCCAAATAATGGCATGTTATTAATTGCTTCTTTCTGTGTGTTTGTGTGATGCTAATGCGTTGTGGAATTCAATAAATATTAAATCAACCAATCAATCCTTTTTGGAAGTTAATTTAGTAAAATTCATACCTTTTCTTTCTGATAGATTTTCATTAAAAAAGAATAATTGACATTATATCAAATTCACAAATTTAAAGTTTGGAGGTAGGGGTGGAGGAGGAAAGTCCATGGCCAAATCTTTCCTACCAAAGAATGAAAAAATGAAAATAGAAAAGTATATATAACTTTTTGACTTTTTATGATAGTGAACTAGCACTGTCACACAAGAGAAGACAAATGAGTTGGGGAAATTAGTTAAGAGAGTTTGGTATCTGGTATGTAGAAGATGGTCCACTCTGCAGCCCTTTTTCCCTTTAGATGCTCAACCAAATTGAGAAAACACACGAGGAACCAAAAGGAAATTAAAATGTTAACCCTATTCAGGGTGAAGTCAGAGTGAAGAGCATAGCTTAGGCTCAAAGCCAAAATGGGGCATCTTATTCCTTTTCCACTAACTCTGCACCCCCGCCCAGTCACAGCTAAAGAATTACAGTCCTTCCCAACAGTAAAGCAGGAAAGAACCCTACCTGTACTACTTCTCACCTGAAGACCAGAGGCTAAAAAGAGCCTGACACTCTCCAATCCATGAGGCCTGCAGCACAAGTGGGCAAGAGGCAGGACCGTGTGTGAGGAGGGACCTTTCATATCCCAGCCCTGCCCATTGGTGGCCCCAGGCCCTCCCCAAGGCCCCTCATCACTGAGTCATTCTGCTCCCAAAGATAAGAGTAAGGGGCTTTAATAACATGACAGAAACATCTTCTGCAGTACCTCCCTAGAGGTAGGAAGTTATGGCACAAATTCCTGATGTTTGGGTCAGGGAGAAGTATAGAAAAGAAGAGAAGGATCCATCTAAGCTGTGTGGTGACCAATTGAGGGAAAGGCAGGGATTGCAGAGGACTCAAGTTTTGGGCTCGGGTGAAGGAAGAGTTGTGAAGGCAGAGGTGACAAATTGAGTTTCAGACCCACTGAGGGGCAGAAGTGTCAGAAGGTCATCCGTGTGAAATTACCCATGAAAACACGGCTGGAGACTGAGAACCAGAGACAGATGGGAATCACCCACATCAATTATGGTTGAAGTCACAGATGTGGACGAAATGACTATGGAAGAGAAAGTGTAGAAAGAACTGGTATCAGTTGAGGTCTATCCTGATGGGGCTTTTTCTGTAAACCTACATTGCTGGAAATGCCTTGTAGAGTAACTATGTGGTTTCCTTTACTCATAGAACTACGTGTTAGATCTGTGGGGAAGAACTACAAGACAGAGCTGCCAAGTGAACTGTGAAAAGCCAAACAGTCAAACTTTTTTTATCTTAGGTATTTGGCACATCCCAGTGATCTCTACTGTTCTAGGGTGTGACAGCTTAGGAGTGAATGTGATTTGAACTTAATGCATTTTTAAAGGGTATCTAAAATTCAGAACCAGGCAGATCCATCTCCTGACCCTAAACATGGTCCTAAAGAAAACTGCTTGAGGAAATTGCATCCCAGAGATTACAGGTGGGGAATTTTGAAGTTTGTCCATATTCCATTGGAGATCAAAGAAGCCCAACTAAAAGGATTGTGGACGGACTGACATGACAACTGTGGATTGAGCAAAACTTCTTTTTGCAAGGGCTATCTTATCTTGAAGGTTCTGGCTTTGGAGGAACAAAGGTGATTGGCAGTGGAAAAAATCAGAACATGTGAAATTCCTTAAAAATTTATTGACTGAAATAATTTTGCCTATGTTACACGTAATTTAATAAAAAGAAAAAAACCTTTACACTTTGTGCAGAAAGTAAAAAAAAAAAAAAAAAAAAAAAAAGAGGTTTTGAAAAAAAAAAAAAAACCTTTTCCCTTTGTGCAAAAAAAAAAAAAAAAAAAAAAAAAAAAAAACTGGAATCAGCTTTGGAGATATCTTCCCCTTGTGGACTGGAGAAGGAGAGCAAATGACACGTGGGAAGTGCTTCCAGTTCAGGGGTTCCCAGGACACATGCACATCTGGGGTAAGGAGCCCGAGGACTGAGGACCAGTGATGATGAGCCCTCTTCACACCTTCCGGGGAAGTGGCTCATCGCAGTGGGAGAGGCTGAACCCGGACGGGAGTGGATCGGAGAGGGACGAGGACGTGGGAAAGAAGCAAGAGCGCTGTCTACAGTCTTTGGAGAAATTTAACTCTAG